CCTCTCTGAGCCTCTGTTTCCTCCTCTGTAAAGTGAGGAAGCTAACAGTGCCCCCCTAACAGATCTGTCCAGGGGTGATGGCATCACAAAGAGTCAGGTGCAGTCCCCAGAGCACTCTCCAGAAGGCCCTTGTATTTCACGGTCCTGGGGATTCTTCCTGGAAGTTACTACTATCATCAGCCCCAGCCAGGAGAATGTTGAGACTCTGAGAGGTTGATTGGCGCAGGGATGGAATTCCACCCATGGTGTAAGCCCAGACTTCTTCAGTCCATCAGGACCTCTGTCTGATACCCAGGTCCTTTTTTTTGCAGACTAAAGAGCTTGTATCAAGCGACCTCCTCCCCAGCTTGAGATTTTCATTTCTTTCAGGGAAGAAGGTGGGGACAGCTGAGAAGTTAATGGGGTTTTACTGGGATCCAGGGGCCAGAATGCAAGCTGTATGTGCAAGGAGTCGGGCACAGGGACTCTAACGACTCAGACACGCTTTCCCCAGCTGGTGGGAATGCAAGCTGGGCCGCAGGCAAGGACGCAGGACTGGCCCAGGCTCAGCCCCAGCTCGGCCACCTCAGAGAGCCCATCCTGGGCCCACGTGGCCTAACACGCCAGCGTCACTCCCATGGGTCTCACTAACCTCACTCCCAGCTCCAGGTCCCAAGCTTTTTCTTAGGTGGTCCACAGAAAGAGATCAATTACACTGCTTTTTCCCAGGTGGCGCAGCAGTAAAGAATCCACCTGCCAGTGCAGGAGGCATAAGAGACGCGGGTTCAACCCCTGGGTCAGGAAGATCCCCGGAAAAGGGAATGACAACCCACTCTAGTATTCTTGCCTGGAAAATTCCATGGACAGAGGAGCCTGGCAGGCTACTGTCCATAGGGTCGCGAAGAGTTGGACACGACTGAGTGACTTAGCATGCACCGACAGAATGNACACACACACACTGCTTCTAGATGATCAGAGGAGAGACCTTATAAACAACCAAATCAATGGCTGAGTGACAGCTTGGGCTTCAGAGCAGGAAGAGCTGGGTTTGAATCCAGCTCCATTCATGCCTGGTGGACCTCGGGCGAGTTAACCACTCTGAGATTCTGTTATCTCATCTGTGAAATGGGTAGCAGGACAGTACCTGCTGGAGGGGATGCTGACAAAGTGCTGGGGGCTTAGCTTGGGGAGCGGCTTTAGAAATGAAGAGGACATTTCTGCTGTGATTATCAGGAGGGCAGGAAGCTGTGCTTCCCTCTCCCATGGGGGCCTGTGCCCGGGAGACTGGATACTTAGGGATTTGGGTGCAATGTGAGCAGAAGCAAGAACATGGTGGGAGTAGCAGGGCTAGGGTGGTGGCGGCAGGGGTCGCTGGTTGGGGGTGGGAGAGCCGTTACCAAGAACCCGTCCCTGGAAGTTGGGAGGCAGGACCCCACTGGAGCTGAGGCTCCAGCCCCCGCTGCAAGCCCCATCATCCCATTAGGCTTCACACAGACAACACGGATTGAAAGGTAACGTTATGAAGAATTTCAAGGGGACTGCAGAGCACTAAACCCCAAGCATGGGGCTTTGTTTCAGGTGTGGGTCCTGTGTGACGGCCTGCCCCTGAGAACGTAATGTGACTGATCGCTGTCGCCTGCGATGTCTTCCAAGAGGCTGAACAACATGAGCCAAAGCACAGATGCCGGGCAGAAGGGAGAATCGATACCCAAATTCAGCCTCCAGTGAATTGATGTCCCAGACATCACAGATGCCTAGCGGTTCTTCGGCACTCCTGGTAGGGCGAGAGGGAAGAGCTTGGGGTGCTAGGCTTGGGCCAAGTGTGGCTAGGTGGGGACCCCACCGCACCTCCATGGCTGGCACTACAGGCCAGAAGCATCTGAGAAGGTGTGTAAAAAGCATCCGATGTGAAGTCCCTTTCCTGAGGTTGATGTTGCCTCTGTAAGACAATGCCCTTGTTGGACTCCCCTGGTGGTCTGGTGGTTAGGACTCCACACTGCCAAGGCAGGGGGCATGGGTTCAATCCCTGGGGCAGGGAAGTTCTGCATACCTTTTGGCGAGGCACCATTCTTTTTAGGGCAATGCAAGCCGCCCAAGTGTTTCAGGGGAAAGAGGCATCATGTTTGCAACTTACTCCCAGATAGACAACGGGGGAAATGAGGCGAGAGGGAGAAAGAACATGGTAACACAAATGTGGCATAATGTGACTGTTTGGGGCATTTGGGTGAAAGGTATACGGGAGTTTTTTGTAGTATTTTTGAAACTTTTCTGTAAGCCTGAGTTATTTCAAAATTAAAAGTTGGGCTTTTCTGTTTTGTTTTGAAGGGCATTTTACAACTATTACTGTTGGGGATTAGGGCAGAGGGGAGAAATAGCCCGTCCTGCTGGGGGCGAGTCAATCCTGCTTGGAGGACCCCAGGCTGGGCAGGAGGCACCTGGGCCATGGGACAGGGCAGCAGTGGCTTCATGGTGCCAGCACCCCCCACACACTCCTGCCACCATCGGGCTCCAGCTTTCCGGCCTTGTGGCCAGTCTTTCCCTTTGGGGGGCCGGTGACTCAGCCACTGCTTCCATGTGGCAGGAAGTGGGCACAGTGACTCACGGGTGGCTCTGCCCCGTCCCTCCTGAAGGCTGGGATAGCAGCTGAGGCTCCAGGCCAGGGACGGCCCCCAATGAGGGGGATCTGCACCCCACGGTGATGCATCCAGGGAGTGCCGCTCTGGAGGCTGGACATGGAGCACTCCCCCAGCCGGACCCTCCGGGGACTGGGCCGAATGAGCCCTCTGCTAGCTCTGCCCCCAGCTGTGGCATTGTGTGGTCATCTGTGGGCCTGTGGACACGCCTTATGGACTCCCCACTGTCTGCAAAGCCAGCAGCTGCTGCCCAAGTGTCCGACCTTACAGGCTGCCCACAGCCAGGTCCCTGGGCCAGGGGCCTTGTTAGCACCCAGGAGTCATGCAGACGCCCGGCTGTCTAGGTCCCTAGGGCCCAGCCCTTCCAGCCTGGGAAGGCTCAAGCCCCCTGGCATTTTCCACTTGCCTCCAAGATCTGTGCTGGGAGCCTGTCTACTCTCTGATTGGTGGGTTCAAAACCAAAATAGTGAAGGAAGATTGCTTCAGGGCCCAGGCTGTGTCTTCCCTCGGATACGGAGATGCCCTGACCTCTCCAGCTTTTCTTCTCACTTAGGGCTGGAATTACTCACTTCAGAGTTAAGGTGTGATCACACTTATGGGGGTGAAAGTGACCCAGCGTTTGCACACCCACTGTCTCGTCTATCTTCATAACACAGAGGAAAACTGAGGCTCAGAGATGTTAAGGAGCTGCTGGGGGCCACATCACCAAGTCTGGATCTGAACTGGGGTCTTCCTGACTCCGGAGTCCATCATGTCTTTATCACTCCTTGAGATGAGCTGTGCGTTCTCCTTGACTGTTGGTGATTGTTCCACACTGGTCTACCAGCTCCAAGATTAATCAGGAGGGGTGGCCTGGAGGAGGTTTCTGAAACCTTGCACCCTGCACACGCTGACACATGGGTGCTCAGGCACGGCTTCAGGTGGAGAAGCGTCTGATTGAGGGTGACTCTGGCTCAGGGCAGTCCTCCGTCTCAGACCCCACTCGCCCACCCCACGCCTGCTCCTCTCACCTCCTCGGTGGATGAGAGATCCCTTCCAGGCTGCATGGCGCTGGTGCCCACCTTCAGGCGGGTCTCTCTGCAGCCTCCTCCGCAGCTTCCTTATCTGTTCCTGATGGTCCCTTTCCTGTGTTTCCCTTTGTTCCTCTCTCTCTCTCTTTTATTTAAAAAAAAAAAAATTTATTTGGCTGCACCGGATCTTTGTTGCAACACAAAGAATCTTTAGTTGCGGCATGTGAACTCTTAATTGAGGCCTGTGGGATCTAGTTCCCTGACCAGGGATCGAACCCCGGCCCCCTGCATGGAGAGTATGGAGTCTTAGCCACTGGACCACCAGGGAAGTCCATCTTCTTTCTGCCTTTGGATTTCCCACTCTGCTTCTTCTGTCCTGCCTTCCCTTTTTTCTTTCCCCTATTTTTTGTTTGTTCTGCTGTTTCTTCATTTTTTTCTTCATTTGTTGGGGTTTTCTCCTTTTTTTTTGCCCCTTCTGTTTTCTCTCCTTCTCCTGCTCCACCTCCTTCTCTGCACTGTCAGCAGACTGTTGTCATTGTTCCAATGGCCAGTTGGCCAGTGCTGTCTTCCCCAGGGACACCCCTACCCAAGGGCCCTGTCTTGGCTTTGTGAGGTAACTTCCCACTTCTTTGGTGCAAACCTAAGGAAGACCCAGGGGAGGTGCTCCCAGCCAGTTGGAAAAGGAGCTGGGGGTCCTCTGGTCCAGCCTCCTGGGGGTGAGCCAGCCTCTGCTGGAGCAGTCCTGTCTTGCCGCATACCTGCTCCCCACAGCCCCCCCGGTTCCTTTGGGGAGGATGGGGTGAGCTCTGGGGATGGCTGGAGGAAATGGTACTCTGAGTACCTGGCACTCAGAGTTGAAATCAGCCTCTTGGAAACTTCCCGTGTCCTCTGATCTGGGGGAAGTCATCTCCCTAGGATCATCACCTAGCTGGTGAAGCTCATCATCTCCTCCCCCCACAGACTGTGAGTTTTCATTCTTCCACATCTCTCCGCCCAACCCAGGCCTCTCAGTTCTAGGGCCACTGGAGCATCTGATTCAGGACTATTTATTCAATCCTTTTCGACTTCATCTGTCTCTTTCATCTTGTTGTTCTGGCCTGTCATGTCTGAATCCAGGTGAATGGCATTATCCCCCTGAATTTTGTCTTATTTGAAAATCTGGTCGTTTGCCTTCATGGTCTTCATTCCAGTCACGGATGAAAATGTTCAACAAGAAGGCCAGAGATTTGTGGCACATCTGTAAAGACTTACCTTCAAATGGGCATTGTTTACTAATTGATTGCTTTTTTTGGTTTTGGTTTTTGTTTGGTTTTGTTTGCTTGTTTTTAGCTGAGCAGCATGCAGGATCTTAGTTTCCTGACCAGGCATCAAACCCATGTCCCCTGCATTGGGAGCAAGGAGTCTTAACCACCAGACTGCCAGGTAAGTCCCATGCAATTGCTTTTTTTTTTTTTTTCCTTTTTAGTTGTATCTCCCTGCAGCATGTGGAACTTCCCTGACCAGGGATCAAATTCACACTCCCTCTGTGAAAGCACAGAGTTTTAACCACTGGACCAACAGGGAAGTCTGGTACTTTTTGTTTTGTTTTTAGTAACTATTTCTACCTGCTACAACTTAACCATACTATTTTCAGGCCTACCTTTTCTTTTTTTTTTTTATTTAATTAAATTAATTAATTTATTTTTTGGCTGCACTGGGTGTTCCTTGCTTTGTATGGGCTTTCTCTAGTTATGACGAGTGGGGGTTACTCTTCATTGTGGGGTGCAGGCTTCTCATCATGGTGGCTTCTTACTGTGGAGCCTCTAGGCTCTTGGACTTCACTAGTTGCGGCTTGCAGGTTCTAGAGCTTGGAGTAGTTATGGCATGCAGGCTTAGTTGCTCTGCAGCATGTGGAATCTTCTGGACCAGGGATTGAACCCATGCCCCCTGCACTGGCAGGCGGATTCCTATCCACTGTGCCACCTTGATTCTCATGGAATCAAGGTATTCTATAGCTATAGCAACTTTTTTTTTCCCTGGCCACACTGGTTGGCTTGCAGGATCTTATTTCCCCGACCAGGGATAGAACCTGGGCTCCCTGCAATGGAAGAGGGGGGTCTAACCACTGAAACTTCCAGGGAACAGGGAATTCCCTATCCATAGTATTTCTATGATCTGAAATCTTGTTTCAGATCTGAAATTTCTTGTTTCTATGTCAAACAAGCAAGGACTTATTTGGCCTGAGTTGCTAATAGTTAGGTTTAACATTTTTTTATCCTTGAAAAAGGGATAGTCAATATCCATTGTATTAAGATTCCAAAATACAGATAGAAGAACAAGAATTGTAAAGCAAGATAAGCACTTCAAACATTTTGGTATTTATTTCTACAAGTTTCTAAAAATGTCTAAAAATACATACATCAAAAATTCATAAAATTCCATCATACCTAAATACTCTTTTATTATCTGCTTCTTTAACTTACTAATATTTTGTGAATATCTTCACATATGAATAAGTGTATAGCTAAACTATTTTGATTGGCTATGGAGTATTCCATTATAAACTGTTTTGATTGGCTGAGAGCTCAGTGGGTAAAGAATCTGCCTGCAATGCAGAAGATCTCAGTTCAACTCCTGGGTCAGGAAGATCTGCTGGAGAATGGACAGGCTACCCACTCCAGTATTCTTGGCCTTCCCCTGCGGCTCAGCTGGTAAAGGCTCCACCTGCAATGGGAGGGTTCAGTCCCTGGGTTGGGAAGACCCCCTGGAGAAAGGAAAGGCTACCCACTCCAGTATTCTGGTCTAGAGAATTCCTTGGACTGTATAGTCCATGGGGTCACAAAGAGTCAGACATGACTAAGTGACTTTCTATTCTATTCTATTCCATAAGGACATCTATTCAAGAGATTCTACATTATTAGGTTCTGGTTGTTTTGCCTTTATACACATTGCTACATAGACCTATTAACTGCATGTCTGGTTCCTTCCTGGAAACAAGTTCAGATCTTTTTTTTTTTTTTTTAAATTTACGTGGCTGCACCTGGTCTTGGTTGTAGCATGCAGGATCTTCAATTCTTTAGTTGTGACATGTGGGATCTAGTTCCCCAACCAGGGGTGGAACAGTGCAGCTCCCCTTGCACTGGGAGCTCAGAGTCTTAGACACTGGATCACCAGAGAAGTCCCAAGTTCAGATCTTACGAAAGATTTTAAAGTATCTTTAAAGTACCTTTTTAAAGTACCCTTTGAATCCCCGTAGTATTTATCTGTCCTTCTCATGTGAACCTGCTTCCATTATAATAATTATATAATATCATCTCCCTGCTTGTAGCCACCAAATCCTTTAGTCCACTCCAATTTAACGCCTGACACAGTAGCTTATACTTAGAGACACTCCGTAAATATTTGTTGACTAAGGGCATGAATAAATGAATTTATTTAATGATTCATTCCAGAGTTTTGCTGGTGATTAACATCATACCCGCTGGTTTCCAGTTCCCCAAGTCTGGTTTCTGCCCCAGCGGGGCCTGGTTTGCCCATCTTCCGGTCCCCTCTGAAACTCAAGGGTGACAGAAAGTGCATTGCTGCCCAGCCAGGGGGGTGAGCTCCCACACCTCCCCCCACCCCAGACAGTGGCCTTGCCCTGGGCTGACACCAGTTGCTTCAGAGCCTCCCCGCCCACCCTCAGGGTCTCCTTTCCTATCGGGTTCTGCAGTTCCCTCTTAGCCTCACTCTGCCCTCCCTTCTTTCTGAATCTGACGGAGGAGCAGGTAAACTTAGAGCAGGTCTTCATGGCCTTGGGAGGCTATCTGGGGAATGGCTGAGGGTGTGGCCGCCTTGAGTGGCTCCCCTGTGACAAAGATGCAAAAGGCACCGCTCTTCAGGGCTTGGGTGAGATTGACAGAATTTGGGGGCAGAGCAGTGCACAGTAGGTGCTCAGTCAAGGCGGTTTTTCTCTCTTCTTCCTCCATTTGACAAAATTCAATCTTTGCCCCTAAGTTTCCTCTCCCCCTTCTTTCTTCTCTCCTCATCTTTTTGAAATATGACCTCAGCTTCCTAGAAGTGCTTTTTTTTTGGACTGCACCACACAGCTAATTCCCCAACCAGGGGACCAGGGATAGAACCCCAGGCCCCAGCAGTGAAAGCAACGAGTCCTACCCACTGGACTGCCAGGGAATTTACTAGAAGTGCTTTATTTAGTAGCCCCACCCACCAACACTGTTTCACATAGAGCTCTTTTGTGATTAGATTGTCTGATACGTGGATTTTTTTTTTTGTTCCTAGTTCATTATTTTCTTTGACCCATTTTCACTCCTAGGACCTATAACTTTTTTGGGCCAGAGTTTCCCTGAAGTTTTTGGAAAAACATCCCCTAAAGTGTAGAGAACCCATCTGACAATTCCCAGTGTCTCTTTGCTTAGCTATCATTAACTCATAGGAAATCACCCTAAAGAGACCCCACAATGAAATTCCTATCCTGGAGCTCAAACACATCAGATGCTTCACTGGGATAAAGACCAGCATCATCCCCACTGCCACTGCGATCTGTCAGCTCAGCCAAGGATTAACTATTTTTAAAAGACTTTTATTTGTGGCTGTGCTGGGCCTTTGTTGCTTTGCATGGACTTTCTCTAGTTGCAGCCAGTGGGTGCTGCTCTCTAATTGTGGTACGCAGGCTTCTCACCGCAGTGGCTTCTCTTGTTGCTGAGCACGGGCTCTAGGCGTGCAGGCTCCAGTAGTTGTGTCCTGTGAACGTTGTTGCTCCACAGCATGTGGGATCTTCCCGGACCAGGGATCGAACCGGTGCCCTCTGCGTTGACAGGTGGATTCTTAACCACTGGACCATCAGAGAAGTGCCAAGATTAACTATTGATGTTAGGCCTGGCCCTGTCAGGGGTTGATTTTCTAAACAATAGCTAAGAAAAAGCAGCACAATCGAACAAAATCTACTGGGCATTGACTCTGTGACGATGAACCAGGGAGTGGGGAGAGACAAGACAGGTGAAGATGAGACTTGGTCTTGCCCCCAAAGGGCTTTGCCTCTAATGACTAAGAACTTAGGTTTGGAATTGGAGGGCTTACAACCTAAACTGAAGAAGCACAGAGATGAAGCAGGTAAAATAGGGATAGATTTTTCTTTTTTTTAAAGAATTCTGAAGTGGTGTTGCCTTCCTATTTCTTCATCAGGGGGAAGCAATTTCCAGTCATCCCATCCATTAAACAAATATGTATTAAGAAAGCAAAATACAGGCCAAGAGCCTGCTTTGAGCACAGCTGAATGTACAATGAGCTGGTTCTCAGGAGACTGAGCTCTGCCCCGTGAGAAAGCACTGAAACGGAGGGGACACTAGGGTCAGAGGGCAAGTGCCCAGCCCTTGCCAGTGGGAGTCATCTTGAGTTCCACTTGAAGGGTTCAGAGTTGGGTCATTGAGGGTGGAAAGTTCTGGAAAAACCCTAATACCCCTGTTGCAACATTCTAGGGAAAATGGCCCATCTACTGAATAAGGGTGAATCAGCCGGGGAAGCTTTGGGGCCCTTAGCGCAGTCCCATGGCCACTTGTCCCCACTCTTTGGTTCCCCAGTGAAGTTCCAGCTACCCTCTGGGGGCAGAGGGGAGGAGAGAGTGACGCTCTGATCGGGAATTTCAAGCAGATATATGCAAATGGCCAGCGGGCTCTTCGGAGGAAGTTCTGGGAGGAGAGTGCTGTGGGCAGCTCAGCGCCGATAACCCGCAAAGCAGAAGTGAGAACCTGAGACTTCCCAGTCCTTCCTCCCCCTCCCCCCACCCTCTGGGGGCCCCCTTCCCTCTCAGAAACAGGACCTGTGACTTTTCCCCAGTTACCCAAGACTTTCCTCCTGAAAAGAAACTAGATTTGCAAGCCTCTTTTGGGCCCCAGAATTGAGGAATAGATTTGGGGCACCCGGGGTGCCCCAAAGGTTGGGGAAAGGAGTACCCTCCCTCTTCCTCTCCCCCCACCCCGAAACCCTGCTATGTGTCAGGTGGGGAACCGAGACCCTCTGCAGGGTGTCACCACCCTCACTGGCAGTATGTGGCTGGCGGGGCCAGACCTGACCTCACACGCCAGCCAAGTTCCCATGCACTCTGGCCCTGAGGCCACTGCCCACCCCCACGGTAAGCCCCCAAGATGCTGTTCTTTCAGGACCCTACTTTGGCGTATTTCAGCTGCATCTCTGGCCTCTGACACAGATGCACCTCTGGAAAGTGCAGCATTCCCTGGGGAAGTTTTGCCTGAGTTCTGGAGTTCCAGTAACTTCCACTTGTAATTAATGAATTGTCAATTGATCACCGGTTGGACGTTCACTTACACGTGTGAGTGTGAGGACACTCGCCTCTCCGTCAGGAAGTCAACCATCTATTGATGAGTGAGTCAAAGCCTTGGGTGGCTGTTACTTATTCATGAGCCAGGGTACCCGTCTCACTGGGTTTCCCCTCACCTGTTCCAGCTTGCCTTGCAAGATGGAAGGAAAGGGCCCTGGGGAGAAAGTGGTTTCCTAACATTTCCTGGGCCCATATTTGAACCACACTTTCCTCTCTCTCTCACCTGATTTCCATCACAGGTCTGGTGGCTTTTTGCCTGACCCTTTACCATATCCTGCGGTGTTAACCCTGACCAACTCAAGGTGTAAACAAATCTATACGACACCATAAAGCATCGGCAGTAAACTGTAGATTGTATTTCTCTTTCTGGGGAGTGAGGAAAGATGAGTTGGACATGGGAATAAATGTTCCTTTTAATTCACATAAAATTTATTTTTTATTTATTTTAACCAAGTTTAACTATGCATCGGGTACATGTAATTTACTCACTAAATTTTATTTTTTTTTGTTCATATATAACTGGTTGTTTGTTTATTTTAACCAAGTTTAAGTTTACATCAGGTGCATGCTCTGTCACTCAGTCGTGTCCAACTCTTTGCGACTGCATGGACTGTAGCCCACCTGGTTCCTCTGTCCATGGGATTCTCCAGGCAAGAATACTGGAATGGGCTGCCATTTCCTCCTCCAGAATACATCAGATACATGTGTTTTACTCACTAAGTTTTATTTTTTATTCACGTATCATTGATTTCAAATTATTTTAACTGAGTTTAAGTATACATTTGGTATACGTGTTTTACTCACAAGTACTACTGTGATACCAACAAAGGTCCATGTAGTCAAAGCTATGGTTTTACCAGTAGTCATGTATGGATGTGAGAGTTGGACTATAAAGAAAGCTGAGCACTGAAGAACTGATGCTTTTGAACTGTGGTGTTGGAGAAGACTCTTGAGAGTCCCTTGGACTGCAAGGAGATCCAACCAGTCCATCCTAAAGGAAATCAG